TGGATCTCCTCCTTGGTGAAGTGTCTGTTCATGTCCTGCACACATTTTTTAATTGGGTTATTTGTCTTTTTCTTGTAGAGGTGTTGTAGTTTCATATATATTTTAGAAATAAGTCCTTTGTCTGATATGTCATTGCAAAATATTTTTTTCCCCAGTCTGTGGGATCCCTTTTTACTCTTCTGGTGAAGTCTTTTGATGCACAAAAGTTTTTAATTTTTAGTATGTCCCACTCATCTATTTTGTCTGTATATTAAAATTTTATAGTCAGTCAAAGGCTATGAAGGTTTTAAGGTTCTAGAGACATAATATTAAGTTATGTACATACCAATATCAAGTTAGGAAATAGAAGCCAGGAGAGGTTAGATTTTAACTACGAATATTAGAATACAAAGAAGGGGAGGAGACCCTGCATTTATGGTTTTCTGACTTAGTGGTTACTCTAGGCACTAAGTGCTGTGTCCCAGGATGGAGATGAAATGTATCCCATCCACACAGTAAGAGGAAAGCAAAGTCACATTTTAACATTCTTTGAAGATTCAAATATTCTTGGCATTGAGATTTGGTAGATAAATATAAAGGCCAAGATCCTTTTAGGTAAAAGTGTGTCAAGGTATATACCGATTCTTCCACACTGGAAAGTGTCCATGAGCACACAATTGACAGAATTAAAAATTAAACCATCACCAGAGTGCAATTCTATTTAGTTCCTCTTTGTTGCTGTTTAGTGCTGTCGAATCTGTTCCTACTCATAGCAACCCTGTATAGGGTTTCTGAAGCTGTACATCTCTGTGGGAGATGAAAGCCTAATTATTCTCCCAAGGAGCAGCTGGTGGCTTGAACCACTGACTTTGTGGTTTGCAGTTTTGTGCTTACTGTACAGAGCTACTGCGCTTCCCAATACCTCCTTTGTTATTGTTGTTAACTGCCTCTGAGTCAGTTCCAACTCATAGTGACCCTGTATAACGTTTCCTTGGAGTGGATGCTGATCTTGTGGCTGAAACTGACCTCCTGGTGGAGCACATTATCCTGCAGTGCCACACCAGGATGCATATTCCAGGAAAAAGCAGGAAATGGAATGTTAAGATTGTCAAACACTAATAAAATATTTTTAAATGGAGAAAATATTGAAGTTAAGGATTTAATTTACTTGGATCCACAATCAGGGTACATGGTAGCAGCTGTCAAGAAATCAAACCATGTGTAAGGGATGGGTCAAAAGTTAACCACACTCCCAGTGTATTAAAACCCTCCTCCAAGTCCACAGCTGATGACAACATTGAATGTGCACATGAAATGATTCTGTCAAATATATGAGTGACAATGGATTACCATTTTAAAATCAGCCATGGCTCTGCCTGTGAAATAATCCATGACACACTTGGGTTTCGAAAAGTTTGTGCGAGATAGGTACCAGAACAACTCATGCAAGAGCAGAAACAGAAACTCTGGGACATCTGTAAACAAAATTTGGACCAACACTCAAAGGAAGGGAAAAGTTTCTTAAAAAAAAATCGTTACTGATGACA